CTTTTATGATTGAATTTATAATATTTTATTATTAGTAAATCAATCTAAATTAAAGTTAATTTTCTAAAAGAAATATTTTAGTATTTTATAATATTAGTGTTTATTAATATGACCTGCAAAAAATTAAGAAGAAAATGCCTCAAAACTATATTGTTTTAATAAAATCAAAATACTCCCATTTTAACTTTAGAAATATGTTGCTTTTGTCTTTTTCAATTCAAATTTATTAAAAAAATTTATTTTTATAGTGTTTTTTCTCATAATTTGTTAAAGATTCAACTAACAAACATATTTTTCTTTTTTTTATTCATTTTTTAATTGATTATTGCACAATTTATTTCTATGATATTTTGGTTTTTATTATAATTAAAAAAACGCATTTATCTCTATTTTTGGTTAAGAATACATCAATAAAAAAACCACAAATAAATCTTTTTATTAAAAAAAAGATTTAAAATAAAAAAAAAAACAAATTAGTGTCATAAAAGATACTATTAAAAACTTAAATCTTTAATAGTAAATTTCGCCCCCCCTACCCAAATTTCCTGGCTCCGTCCTTGGTTACGGTTGATGTAATGTCCAACAGATGGACGGTGCAGAGTTGATCGTGCAGGCACCAATTCAAAACACCACCACAACCTGCCGCTTGACCGACTAAGTACATAAACAATATCTGCATCCAGAGCGCGTGTAACGAAACCCGCGACCAAGGTTTTAACTAGTCTATTTTAATTGTTCTTCCAAAAAAAAAAAAAAACTATTTTAATTATTCATGAAAATTTTTTTGAAATTTTTTGAAATCAATTTTATTTACAAACGTACAATTACAATAACTCCATAAATATTCATATTTTATTGAATAGCAAAAACATAAAAAGGAAAACATTTTTTATAATTCTATCTAATGTGTAGATTTGGTAAAGGGAATAGATCAAGTAAGATGGTTTCAAATTGGATCACTTTATATTTTGAATAAAATGAATTGGTTATTTGTAATTTTAAATTAAAGGAGATAGACTCATGATCTACCTGCACGAATCTCATATTGGATTAGGTGAATTTAACCTTTTAAAATATTAAAATATTAATTTTTTATTTTTAAAAATAATTT